ATTTTATTCATAATACACTCAATCAATAAATAATATACTTAAGGCGATTGCATTTCAAAAGTAAACAACGTTACACACAAAATCACAAACGTTAAACAACTAGGGGGTGGGGGGGGTTAGAATGGTTGAGATATAATTGAGAGTAAAATTGCTATTGTAGAGCTGATTTTATGCCCCGCTTATAGTAATTATATTTTACATTGTATATTTATCTAATATAATAGGCGCATGCGTGACAGCATGTGTGAACATGAAAATTTATGTTTCAGTGATTTTGATTGTAATTTAATTAAATTTAATTGTATTAGAGGTTTTAAAATTGTGTTCATAAACTTCAGAAGTCTTGTACACCATTTCGTTAACATTCAAAGGCTTATTGAAAACTATAACATAGATGTGTTGTGTGTTTCGTAGACAAACCTTAAACAAAAACACAATGACTTGGAGTTCACTATAAGTGGATTCAGTCTCTGGAGATGTGATCGTATCGGACGAAGAGCAGGAGGAGTCGCCATATATGCGAGAAATACAGATAATACTATATATCACGTGTTGGACACCGATTGTGACATAGATTATGAGACAATTGTACTGAAGGTCACACATCTAAATGCCAAACCATTTGTTATTATCTCCACATATCGACCTCCGAGTGCTTCCGTGGTCTCAGACAATAAGTTTTTGCATTTTTTGCAACAATTTTCGGTCGAAGAAGTGATTATCGGCGGAGATATAAACCATAATTTTTTGTCTAATAAATCAAATCAATGGTTCAATAGAACTTGGGCTCAAACAAGTGATCAGAAGTGCCACAAGAGTCACAAATCGTGGAAACTACTCATGTATTGATCACATATATGTCCAAAGTTATCATAATATAGCAAATTATGGTGTAATTGAATACGAGTTCTCAGACCATAAACCAGTATTTATTGTAAGAAAATTGAATCCAAAGTTTGCCACAAATACGCGTAAATATATTTATTATAGAAATTGGAAAGTATTTAATTCAACTGAGTTTGAAAATACTTTAAATAATAATATTTGTCTAATAAATGGCCCGAATATTAATAAAAATGTGTGTGACTTTAACTCTAATGTGAACTTAAGTTACGAAAAATTAGTGCCATTGAAACGAAAGCAAATTAAAAACAAGCAAAACATCCCGTATTTGTCGGAAACCACTAAAGGCTTAATGAAAGAAAGGGATGAAACCAAACGTCTCTTCAATCGACTTAAAAGACAACATATTATTAACAATGAATTGTTTGAAAAATATAAACGACTCCGAAATCAAGTGAATATCAAACTTAAAATTCTTGAAAAAAACTGGAATACGAGTCGAATTGAAAAGAATAAAAATAATCCGAAAAAACTTTGGCAAATATTGGGTGAAAATTGCGATACAAAAAAATCGAGTAAAAATCACAACAAATTACTTGATATTAATGTGAATGAATTGAATGATTTTTTTGTCGAAATGCCAAACAATTTAAACAACAGTTTCACTAAAAATCCAATAGCTTTTGAAGATTTGTCGCCAAATACTGCAAATACTTTCTCATTAATGGACACAACAGTAGAAGAGGTAACAAAAATCATCAGTAGTTTGGATGAAAGAAAGTCCGTAGGAGTCGACGGAATTTCAACAAAACTCGTTAAAAATGCAAAATGTTTTGCGAGTTATTTAATGTTTTTCATAAACCTGTCATTTATGACATGTACTGTACCGGACATCTGGAAGTTGGCATCAGTTATACCATTGCATAAAGCGGGAAAATTAACTGAATTTGCAAACTATAGACCAATTTCTATACTTCCAGTAATCAGTAAAGTGATCGAAAAAGTAGTCCACAAACAATTGTTTCAGTTTTGCAATGAAAACCACTTAATATCGGACTTACAATTTGGGTTTAGAAGTAGACATTCATGTTCTGATGCCTTGTTATCGATTAAACATGAAATACTAAATCAATTGAATAATAAGAAGAAAATATGTGTACTCTCTATGGATTTGCGCAAAGCCTTCGACACAGTGTCCCACGAAATACTAATTTACAAATTATATCGTTTAGGACTGGATTTCAAGACATTGTTATGGTTTTGCTCTTATCTTAATAATCGCCAACAGTTTGTCAAAAGTGGGAACAGTTTGTCGCACAAGAGGACAGTCACCGTCGGTGTGCCCCAGGGCTCGATTCTTGGACCGCTATTATTCTCACTATATATTAATGACATAACGAATATCGGAATCGATGGCCAGATATGCCTTTACGCCGATGACTGTACGGTCGTATTCTCGGCAGACAATTATCAATCGCTTGAAAGTAAAGTAAACCAATCGATGGGTTTGATCACCAAATGGTTGGCAAACAATCGCATGACTCTTAACAAAGAAAAGTCAAATTATATGTTAATAAACGTCTCAAATAGAATCCCAAATGATATCAACATTTTCTTCAATGATTTTCAACTCAAACGAGTGAAAGAAACTAAGATTTTGGGAATCATTTTTGACGAAAGACTTTCATTTAAACAACACATTGAATACATATGCAAACGAATCAGTGCTAGAATTGGTCTCATATCTCGTTTAAAACGGAAAATGCCTTCAAATGCGTTAAATATTTTATTCAAATCAATAGTGATTCCAATCATGGATTATGGCATTAATTCTTATGGCTTTGCATATGAAACACATGTTAATCGCATTCAAAGACTTCTGAATAGAGCCGCACGAGTGATATCTTTATCGGACAGCGATTATCAACAGCTCTTCACTTCTCTTAATTGGCAGACATTTATAAACCGAAGAAATTATTTCTCTTCAATATATTTCTACAAATGTCTGAATCAACTCTCGTGTAAAAATTCAAAGAAGTTCTTCGCGTATAAAGACTCGACTCGAAGGACAAGATCTGTCACTAATCGTGAACTGGATTTACCAAAAACTCAATTAACTGTTTATAAGAATTCAATTTTATACGCTGGAGTTGGCTTACAATCGGTTGAGTCCTAACATCCGATTGTCAACAACTTTTAGCTCATTTATTAGAAATTTACGTAATTCTTAATTATATACTTTTTAATCTAATTTTTATTTAATTTTTATATATAATATTTAAAACACGTCTTCATTGGAAATCAGCTCTTGTTGAATGTATTTCGTGTCTAAATAACAATAAATTCAATTCAATTCAATTCAATCTTTACCACCTTAACCCCCACGCCGCCCTAAACGGGTTTTGATCTAATTAAATTTAAAATAAACAATATTTGCACTACATTTTAATTAAATTCAAATGAGAAAGTATATAAAGTAGACACAATTGCTTTCAAATACTCAATTAAGTTACGATTAAGAATATTATAATTATTACTATCAAAATATTTATTATTCTTAACAAAATTATATTAAAATTATTAATATACAGTATAAAATGCTATAAATTAAATTCAGTGTCAAAAATTATATTACATTAATATATTTTTGCCATTAATTTCAATAGTATTGTATTTAATATAATGCTATCTAAGAATACAGTGCAGTACAGTCTCAACAGTGGTGGACACCATTGGATGGAGGCTTCGATTCGGTCATCGCCGAGGGTTCTGTTGCCAAAGGCTTACTCCAGAGTGGAAATGGAGACACGACTGACCCATACGGTCGACAATAGTGCAAACAATTGTCAGTCGGCTTCGAGTAATGAGTCCATCGACTCGAACGGCAAGCGAGACACGAGTGGAACGCATGAAGCGAACGATTGTTATATTATTGGATGCTTTAGTAAACCCAACGCGCGTTCGGCGCCACCAAAACATAAAGGCTTTTGTGTGGTTTGTGGCGACAGAGCCACTGGTCTTTACTACAAGGCCCTCACGTGTGACGGTTGTAAAGGCATTTTCCGTCGAGGGCTTAATGTTAGTGACGATTACAGCTGCAAATATGGCGGCAGATGTGAAATAGATGTGTATAACAGAAGGAAATGCATAGAATGCAGATACAACAAATGTCTTAACGTTGGTATGTCTAAGGAATCTGTTGGCACTCAGTGTCAGTGCAAACCAATGAGCGCTAAACAACCACCGAAAGGCAAACGTAAGCCAAACACTACTACTAAAGCCGATGCCCGCAAACCGAGTCAATTGGCGTTCAATACGTCTAATACTGAGCCCAATGTGATTAAGCCGTTGACTGGCGCCCAAAAGGAGGCAATTGATAAACTCGTCGACATTCAGAATATGTTTCAATCTCCGACTGCGGACGACATGAAACAAATCCCTGCGATTGTGTTGGGGGACAAAGAGTCGCAATACAAACACCTCATTGAATTGACTGCTTTAACCATTAAACTAATCGTCAGGTTTGCGAAAAAAGTGCCAGAATTTGTCGGACTCTTAGAGAAGGATAAAGTCATTCTCTTAAAGGTATAGTTGTTGTTGTGTTAACTCAATTGTTTACTCATATAGTGTTTGCATACCATTGAAGGCGTGTTCGGGAGAAGTCATTTTTTTGAGGGCTTCGCGTAAATACGATGTGACAACAAATTCAATAATTTTCGCAACGGGTAAACCCTGGACCGAAGAGGACCACCGAAACGCTAGTGTTAGCCACACATCCGATCATTTATTTGAATTTTGAGTGAACACAAGCCTAACCACAAAGAGTACGCACTCATCACTGCTATCGCGCTCTTCAGTCGGAGACCCAAACTATTAGAGCCCAAGAAAGTGGAGGCAATTAAGGAATTCTATACCCAAACATTGGAGGCATACGTCTATAGCCATACGTCTGACCGCAACCCCCGTTTCGGCCAATTGTTAACCGTTTTGGCAGATCTGCGATCTCTGGCGCACATCAACTTTGAGTCGTGTAATCGATTGGTTGCCGTCAACAACAAGTTGCCCCCATTGTTGGCCGAGATGTGGGACATTGAGTGTAAACTGGAATCGCTTTCAATCGATAATAACTCTCAAAACGACTTTGGATTGAATCCATTTAGTTTGGAAATATTTATAAACACGTATTTATTTGAGTCATAGGCTCAGCATTTATTGTCGTCGTTGTCCTTATCTAATGGTCTTTTCTTTGAGATGACTCACACAATGGCCGTAAATGTTATGATTATTTAATTTAATTATATTTATTGTTTAATTTATTATAATTATTATACAAGTATAAGTATAACCGTTATATGTTATTTATTGATAA